TTAGCGTGTTTTGGGTTTATATTTTACAAAATGATGTTTTCATTGTTTTGTGTTTTTAGTTATATTTTTTTTTGCATTTTTCAAAACGCATTTTTGAAAATAAGATAGAGAACTGGTTTTCGCTGTTTTGAGAAATTAAAAACAGAATATGGCTGGAAAATGACAAAGAGAATAGGGCCTAAAATTTGCGGGAAATTTCGGAGGATACAATGGTTGGGATTCGTGATTTCACTTAATCGTTGCCTAATTAATTTTTCCACATTCAAATTAACAAATTACTTATTTAGTATGTTAGACTCGATTTTTCAATGTTAGCTAATTACCTCTATACCTCTATAGAGGGAAATTAACCCCAATCGATTTATTTAACCTATTATATTTCTATATCGATTAAAATTCAACTGATTGCATTAATTATTTGTGAAAATAGTTCAGTGTATCACATAGAGTTAGTGGTATATCTTTATCCCTCAAAAGAATCTAAGGTATATACTATTTGGTCTAAAATACACAATCTTCTCTCGAACGATACACAAATCACTAAACATAATCGTTAATTGACCACATGAATGATAATGCACAAAATATAATAGTATATAAATGATGCTACATGTACACCATGCTTGTACAGTATGATGTACATTCCCCTCACATAGAGGGGGTCCACAAATTTTTTATTCATGGTGGGTCCCCTCACAAAATAGGGTTGAGTGTATGAAAAGAGAATCCTTAAAAAATGGCTAAAATTGACTATTACACACCCTCAAAAACGTGCCCATAAATTGCCAAAAAGACCCCCAAAATTCGAAAAAACATAAAAACGGCCCATGGTCGGAAAGAGGGCGCGCAATGGGGCATTCTTGGCGCACGCGCATACGAGACCATCTTGGTCTCGGTAAATCAAAAGAGCCCTCCCGTGCGGGCTTTCTTCCTTTCTTCTATTTAGGTTAGTCGGTTAGTCCTCTATACAATTGCATATCATGCCCCTCAACTTTGATCTTGTATAATTTGTCCTCAAAATTTGACTTCATCTCGATCATGCCCTTAAAAATTGCAACATTGGGTCCTTGTACTTTCTGACTTGTTCACTTTGATCCCCAATTCATTTGACTTACAAAAACAATAAATACACAATTGTGAATATAAAATCGTTCAATTTAATAACTTATTAACTTATTTGAGTATTAAATAAACGTGCAAAAATACACTTATCAACCGCTAACAAGTTCACAGATGTTCTCTTTACATGGCATACTTGAGCGAGGGTAAATGGTAAGAGTAGAAGCTACGAGTTCAGGCATATTTTGTATACACGGCAGCTCAATGGAATAAAGAATAGAAGCTAACGAGTTCACGAATATTTTGTATACACGGCAACTCAATGGTTCACCGACTCGGGTGACCTTCTTTTTGGGTCAGGACAGAATTCTATGCTATCTTTCTTCAAAATTAACTGGTAATTAGAACCCTAACTCCATACTCTCTCAAGAAATCCGGACCAAATCTCCTGAATCCTCATAGTTATCCATATAATGATATTGTTTGTACAAAATTTCCGTTTTTCTTACTGACTATATTTTCTTCAACTTCCTGTAACTGTGGAACTGACCAACTGTACAAAATTTCTTGATCTTCTACTTTATATTGTTTATTTGTTCAAGAAAGATGGGTTTGGGTATATCTGTGCTTATAGGCTTAAAGGCAGCAACTTTATTCACGGTTTTTACTTATCTAAGAAATCTTGGTTTCACGTTGCTAGCAATTCCAGTTTTGTATGCATCTTTGGTGTCTTTCTTGGTTGCAATAGCTGCACATCCATCCATTAATCTGCCAATACTTTTGGGGAAAGGCACAGATGGGAGATTTCCCATTTGGTCACTAATTATGTTCAGTCCATATCTATATTTCGTGAGACTATTTTCAGCATTGAGAAGGTTGATAAGTGGGGAGGCTCCGTATAGTGAGATTTCGGAAGGATTATATGTTGGAGGATGGCCTTGTTCGCTCGATAAATTGCCACCTGGTAATCCAGCCATTATCGACTGCACTTGTGAGTTTCCAAGGAAAATGGAGCTTTCGGGACATGCTTATTTTTGCATTCCTACATGGGACACACGATCTCCTCAGCCGGCTGAGATTGAATCTGCTGTGAAGTGGGCTTGTAGAAAGAGAGCTCAGAAGATATCGGTATTCGTCCACTGTGCATATGGTATGGTGTGATCTCTTCAATCCGATGATAATCGTTCTTGTATAGTCAATGATCCAAATATGGACTAGCCGTAAATATTAGTTGTTTTTATTTTTGTTTCAGCTGTACTGTGGTTGATTACATTACATGTCACAGAATGCATGATATATATCTGTATCATTCTCAAGCATCAATCCTGATATCCTTAATGGGATTGTGTATTCTTTACCAAAGGGGTTGATACTTGGACATTTGTGGAACGGTACATTTTTCAAATTGGAATCAAATCGTAAATGCCTTTCTCCAATACATATATAACCGTGTACATGAGGCACCCAAGATTTGGAACACAAGAAACAAAGGCATATTTTTTCTAAAAACAGTCCAAATCTAGTCAGGAGTAACATTTTCTGCAGTTGTCTTTTAGAGCAAGCAGTTGCTAGAAAAATGTCATTCCCTGGTGAAACATTAAAATGCTACCTCTTGAGCCAAAGTATATACCAAAGCAACACTTTTTATCCACTTTGAAACCTCTTTATTCTCTATGGGGCGACAATTTCTTTTATCAATGACATTTATGTCTACTTAGTGCTTGTTTGGGAAGTGAATGTAATTTAATCGCTTCTGGTCGAACATACATTTTGTCCACACATTACTTAGGACTCACACCTACTATTTACTTATTATCCACACAGTTGGACCATCAGCCTATAATCACTTATTATTTACTAACAAAACATGCACTTAGTTAGCGTGCTTAGTTCTTATCCCCTCTCTTCTCTATGCTGCACTATTGTATTGGAAAATTGAGTTCAGATTTCAGATTTTTACTGTCAAAGATAGAATCTCTATTCCATGGATCGCTTAAATATACTTGTCATATCGCTCCAGAGGGCTCGCGAATTTTGTTAGTTTTGAACTTTGTTACTTTGCTGTTTTTAAGGGGTAATGATGGTTAATTTGAATTGCTTCTTTCGTAATATCACGAGTCCTTGTAGTTTTAAAAGATACGGTTGCGTTGCTTAGTCTCATGCATAATCAATGGAGTAGTTGACTAAAAGCAGACTCCACAGCATCCGCAAAGTTACTGGAGAGACACTCAATTCCTCATTTTCTTTATCTTCCTTTTTCTGAGACAAACACCGTATCCAAGAAAATTATTTCCCCCCGCCCATAATACATACCAGCACAAGCAACAAAATAAAAAAAAAGAAGAAAAAAATACACTTATCATCACAGAGAGGCCGGGCTAGATCAAACAACTAGCTAATTCAGAATTCCCGTATGTGCTACTGCATGACTTCTTGTATTTGATAAGAATCTAACTGTTTTAGATCTTCCTTTAGATTTAGTACTGAATCAAATGGAGTGGAGAAAAAGGATTCTTGTAGCCAACCCCAAATGATTGAGAATAAGATTTTGTTTGTTATTGCCATTGTCTTCGTTAGAGGGAGGGGGAGAGGGAGAGAGCTGGGTGGTTGGCTGTTCCAATCCAACTTCAAAATCTTACCCAGACAATAATATTTGTTTCTTCTTGAATATAATTTGTAAGTACTTTTAGTTGTAATCATGTGAATGAATTGAGTTATGAACTAAAATCTGAGTGTTAATAAGATATTTTAATATCCTTATTGTGTTTAGAGTAGGTTTATAGAATGTATCAAGTTCCATTGGAATCCCTGCCAAAGTGCATAAATATTTAGCTGTTTTCCTGTAGTGTATATTGCTTTTGCTCAGGGTTGACACTTCAGAATGGAATTCCTTTAAATGGAAAACTTCTATGACTATTCTCTGCAAAAGATCAGCAAAGCTTAAATCATTTTTTTTAGTTTTAAGTATTAACGTCTAAAGTTCCCTATGTCTAGGTTTCAGCAACACTGTAACTTGTTTGGATTTGTTTTCTGTTTTTGACTATTTAATTAATTATGTTTTAGGAAATTGAAATTTTTTCTCTGAGATAGTTATAATTGTTCAAAGAAAAAGCCATTATCAAGTGAAGATCTTCATAAATTGATTCAATAACTGATTTCTTCAAATTCAATATTTTTAGCTTTAAACTAAACAATAAATAGACGGTTATATAATATAAGTTGCTTTTTCCGATGCCTGCTGGAGTTAAAACCTTTTTGTCATTTGTTTTACATTCTCAGGTCATGGCCGAAGTGTTGCAGTGATGTGTGCACTCCTGGTAGCTGTTGGCCTGGCAGAAGATTGGAAAAATGCTGAAAAGTTAATCCGAGAAAGAAGGCCTTGTATTCAAATGAATGCTCGTCATCATAAAGCCTTGGAAGAATGGTCGAAACACCGGTTATCTTCTCCCTCCAAAAACCAAGAAGTTGGTGTAAGTTCTATAATTTTTTCGTGATCTCCGGATGCTGTCAAAAAATATCGTTGGAAGACTCGATGGTTTTGTCAAGAATGTACTATTAATTTATACTTCTATTAGTATGTAAACTTAAGTTTTCTATAAATTCTTGTGGTTCGTGCATATCGTTATACGAGTTCAGAATAGTAGCTATGAAATACTACTTCGACTTTTGCATCACACTATCAATACATTCACGCTGTTATATACATAATTATATTTACATCGCGTGCAATGCGCGTGTATATCTTGGTGTCGTGCAACTGATTTTGTTGATAACATGTAATCTTCGAGAGTTTAATATTGTGTTAGTTTATTTACTTTATTATCATGATAAGGTTAAGTTGCAAGTTGAAGTGATCTTTGGAACTCAGATAATTTAGTCTTCGTTTATTTCTCATTTTTCATCCATAAAAATGAAAAATATGATCGTTATCCATAACAAGAAGTCATCAACTTTGAATTTCTATCTCTTGTATGGGACCCAATAACGACTATATTTTTTATTCTCATTCTACATTAATGATAATCAAATGGGCCCTTAGTTTGTGTTTGGCCAAGCATAAATTTTTTTTACTTATAAGTAGTAATTAAGTATAAAAAATCTATGGGTTAATGTTAGAAATTACCAAGTTATTTAGAAATAAGGACATTAATTTGTGGATGATGATTACACAACAAAGGTTTATTGATCTTTCTTTCTATTTTTTTAAAGGAAAAGATTATTAATTTCTAACAAATCACAATTGTAAATACACCAATTTTTACCCTTTTCCTTCAATAATTAATAAACAATCATCTCTCTATTTACACACACACACACACACACACACACACACACACACATATATATATATATATATATATATATATA